CCAGTAAGAGAGGTTTAGAAGCTTGTGGCATATGAAAACACTAAAATATAAACAGAATAAGATCTGGGTTTGGGGTTTTGCTGTCTATATTGGGTTCATTTTCCCACAGCAGCCCTCACAGGTCTGTGCTGTGCATTGGTAGCTGGAAAGGTGTTGATAACACACCAGGGCTTAGGAATTGCTGAGCAGGGCTGGCACAGCATCAGTGCTGTCTCTCAGCATTCCCCCCCTGATCAAGGGGCGGGGGGAGGGCAAGATCCTGGCAGGGGACACAGCTAGGCCAGCTCACCCAAATTAACCGAAGAGACATTCCATACCACGCACCTTTGTACCAACGTAAGACCATCACACTATCCTGGTCGAATACCATGAAAATCACAATGTTAAATTTCTGGCTGTACTTTTCCATCTAATATTTTTTCCCTGTTTTTTTTTTTCATATACATAAAACCCCAACCCATTAAATAAAACTCAATCTATCTCCTGACACTCAAAACAAAAAAAAAAAAAAATCACATATTTAGTGAGCAACCAAAAAGCAATAGAAACCCAAAACCCTCAGTGATTAGGTTGGTATTCAGCTGGAAGTGATTAGTCTGTGTGAGTGGAGTGACTGAATACTTTTCCTAGGAACAGGGAGGGAGAAAGAAAAAAACAGAGGAAAGAGAAAGGGAAGAATTATTCTCCATAGTTACAGATGACATCTATAAGACCATGACCAGGCATGAACTGATTCACAGCACCTAAAGCACCTGTAGGAAAGCAAGAGGTCACCTTTAGAGAGTGGTGCCCCAAGATAGCAGTTAAAATATTACTGGTTATGATTTCACTGCTTTCACTACGAAGCTGTATGGGTGCCTCTTCTTGCCAGWGCCTATGCTAAGAACAGCAACTATTTAGAGGGAATCAAAGACTTGGAAGGTTAATGGGCAGATGCATGGCCTGATGGAGCATCCCAAGATATTATTCCCATCCTCCCCAAGGAAGATGAGCTAAAACTAAGTCATCCCTGCTCTGGTTATTTTTACTTTGCAAATTCAGGCTTTGTTTCAACACTTGAAGGATGCTACAAGCATTTGCAAATATTTCCACAAGATGTAGGAGTGAGGGTTCATTATGCCTCTGCTTACAGAGGCGCAGGAAGTCGTCACTGTTGTGASGGTGCCAAATGCTGGGACAAAGCCCAGAGAGCCTGTGATTAATCCATTAAGTTATGAATGACATGTGGAATGGAGACATTCAAGACTGGACTGGACAAGCCCCTGAGCAATCTGTCCTAATCTGTTTTGAGCAGCAGACTGAACTGGAGACTCCAGAGATCCCTCCTCACTCAAATTCCTGCATGTTCCAGTACCTCTGCGGGGCTACAAGAGAGCTGGAGAGGGACATTTTGCAAAGGCATGGAGTGACAGAACAAGAGTTGATGCTTTAAACTAAAAAARGGTGAAATTAGACTAGATATTAGGAACGAATTTCCCAGAGAARTTGTGGATGCCCCATCCCTGCCAGTGTTCAAGGCTAGGCTGGATGAGGCTTGGAGMAACCCGGTCTAGYGGAAGGTGTCCCAGACCTTGGYATGGGGGTTGGAATTAGATGGTCTTTAAGGACCCTTCCAACCAAACACTTCTGGGATTCTATGAATCTAATTTCACAAATACGCTCCCATTTAAGAATAATCTTTGTGAGGTTAGAAGCAAAACATGGTACACTTTCCTTGCTTAAACAGCTACCATATGACKGTACAACTTAATTGTTGCACCCTGGTATTATTAGATACTAGTTTTATGCATTTAATTAGAAATTATATGCAAAATAAAAGATAACATATTTTTAAAATTATAGTTTTTAATTATGCACCTTAACCTACCATTTAACAATGTCACTTTATTTAAACAATACAACACAGACAACTTAATTGCTTGGAGTATGGTATATTCTCTTCATACAAAGCTCCTTAAACAATCCATTTTATAATCTAYGTGTAATTGCAGATCATATTTAAAGATTATGCTGCTAACTGAGATAAATCTGTTTGCACTTTCAACTTTATCTTCTCTAATATTTTAGGGTTTGTTTGATCTGGTTATTATTCCAGCTGGAGAGAAGATATTTGTTAATATTCTGCCAATCTGCACATTACCAGGACACTCAAGAAGTAGGGAAACTGGAATGCAGAAAGAGGCTTTCTCAGTAGAAGGAACAGAATTTTTGTGCTTAGAAACATACAAAAAAAATCGCCCCTTAACACTTCACACTAAGCCTCCTTCTGTCAAACCCTTCAAGAGATAATCTGCTATGGTTTTGTTTAAAAGGGCAACTTTTGAGCGTGATGGACAAAACAAATCACTTTGAGGAAATGTCTCTATTTAGCACGCTGATGTTTATGTAATTACACTCAGCAGGTAACGTAACCATTCATTCTACTGTGTTTAAATGCTGGGACACAGGAAATTCCTCTTGATGAATTTGCTCTTCACATCCAGGTTATATCTGACTGCATGCCAGGATGCTGCTAACCACAGTATTGGCCAGTAGAGGCACAGAAYTGACTTGTCCTGGCAAGAGCAGAATAAATAAATCTTGCTGAAAATGCAGTGGGATGTCTCTAGATAGCATAAGGATCAGGACCTAACAGCCTGTAAGTCACTGCCCTTATCACTCTCTTGGAACACAGATTTATTAGAGCATTTGGAAGAAGATTACTGACACCTTCCAAAGGAATGCATTTCTTTGTCATTCGCATCCAAGGCCCCAAATTTCTGACAAACTTGGGTAGGCTACATGCAAGACTGAGATCAGAATAAAGAGAAAATTCACTCCTCTCTGTGAGTGTACTGTATAATAGACTGTTCTGTTGTCTTTGTCAGCTTTTATTATTCCTCCTAATTTTGGTCTAGATAGAAGCATTTCATGACTTGGGTAAACATGCAGGTTTACCACGCACCTAAGTGATGATCTACAAACAGGTACAGATAGCAGYGAATCTCTTAGAGATCAAGTGTTACCTGGAAGAGAGCAATAGAAGTTGGTACTTTTATGGGGTTGGGGGGGAAGGAAGGGAATCAGTCTTTAAGACTTTGCCTAAAAATCTACAGCCGTCCTGAATGTCTCAGATAAGAGCAACTTGCAATGGGAAAGTGAGTTGGGAAGCAGGCACACACTCACACACAAAATTCTCTTTTATTCAGGCATTAAAATGATATAGAAAAACAAACTCATGTCAAAATTATCTCAAGAAAAGCCATGGGTCTATTATCACCATTAACAAAATGATGTAATTACARCATACAGCTAAGCAAGAGTGTAAGTAAGTCCATACGTACAACCTGCACTGAAGGATTWTTAATGCTGGACCCCTCACAAAGGCTTTACTTGGACAATTCCAGTGCTACTATTTTGAGGGGGTTTAAAATTAGTTTTAAATTAGAAAAATGTGAAAAAGCAGAAAAGGCGGGAAGGGAGCAACACCAAAAAAAGTCTAAACATGAGATCACAGTCCTCCGGGCTACATTACTGTGAACAGAATTCATACTATTATTTTTTCTTGGTTACCATAAAAATKACACTGCAACCAACCCAGCTGTGTGCTATTTATAGAGATCAAATCATTATAAAGACATTCATGCTACAGGCAGCAGCAGTGACATTTTTCCCCCCTTCTTTTTCAAGCCAATTAAGCGAGAAGAACATTAGAATAACATTTTGCTTTGTTTCCCATTCCCCTTGGTGTTATAGGATAGCTCATGTTCTTCRATTAAGACCACAAGAATTCTGTCAAAAGGAACAGACTTTACAGTGCACTGTAAATATCCTAAATACCAACATCTTGATTTTGAGCTTCCAATTTAGTAAATGTGTATATTTCATACTATTTTTCTTGCTGAGAAGACTTTTCCACATCCAGCATATTTGGCCCAATAGCTTTGTGAAGAAAATCAGTGTGATTCATGTGTGGTGGGGCTGAGGGAGGAGCAACAAAAGGTGAGAAAATAGGAAACAAAAGCATTGCAAAATCTTCCATGACAAGCCATTATGTTCAGAATACAAACTTATATGGAAGCACTTCAAAGGACAATCGAAACAAATGCACTTCCTGCTCTTGTCACACAAGTTACCACAGCATGGAGAGCAAATTTACACTCAGCTCACTGAAACTTGGCATTGCCATGATGGACAGAGCAGAAATCTGTGTTATGAAACCCTGCCTGACAAAAACTCTGCTGGTTGGAAATAAATTGAGATACTTAGGACACTGTAGTGTGCTACCAGTCAGCAGCATGGGGATTTACTACACAGTTGGCTATGATAACCTGCAGATATTGATCTTGTGGGTAGGACTCATCACCCTTAAATTTAATACTCCAGAAAGTTAAGTATCTCCCCTAAGTCAGCTGTCCACAGTCTCTTGAGAACTGATGTGGAAAGACAGGTATCTCCTGAAGACAATTTATCCTAATCTCTGATAGGTGTCTCAGGTAGAATGAATCAATGGTTGAAACTGTCTGTTTCTCTCCACTGAACTTTCTGATGGAAATCAGAAGAGTAGCTTAGTCTAGACACCTAACTTTCRGATGACTGAGAGTCAGGGAGATGARTCTGGCCCTATCTCCCKGTTTGSCACATCACCAGGCACTACCCTGTGTGAATAAAGTACATTTGAAAGTGTTTCTACGACTTGGAACTTGCTTTAAATCCCATATAATTTTAGGAAGAATAACTTTCTACCAAATTAGTCTATTTTCCAACACTGGTCTAATGAGCATGGGCTTTCACTGTCCAAGGCCACTGATGTTCCATTTCCTATAAGCACTGGCTGACTTGAAGCTGTACTAGAGYAGTAAAACAAACGAGCAGAAGTTCTCAATTATCCTGTTCAAAGTGCCGATTAAGAATCTTGTGATGAATGACAATTGTCACTCATCAGTCATTCAACAAACCAACATAATTCATATATCCAGAAAAAAAGAGCAAGAAGGGGGAAAAATGGCAGTGACACTTACTTGTCCAAGAGTGCACTCCATGCCACCCAGGAAATCCGCTTCCTTCAGCCCATTGTGATTGCTGCTAATGTCRTGGACTTCAAACCGCAATCGCTGCACCTCTTCGAAATAGAAGTCCACYGTGAACAGCTTGGAGAACACGGGATTTATGCAGGTTCTAATCACTTCTGTCCTGTCAACCTGTCAAATYGAAAAGAGGTCACATGAGTGGCTTCTCTTTCTGCCAGTGATGGACAACCATGAGCTCCTCCAAAACACTCTGCTCATTTATCAGGACTGACAGCTGGGACTGTGGCCATGGACAATCCTGTTTGTACTGTCAGCAGCAGCTGCTGKTCCTGTGCTGAGCTGACCATACAGGATAAGGACATCTTCCCTTTTCYCTCCCTTCCAGAAAGTCTTTGGCAGAGTAACTAGGAAATAAACTATAGAATAACTAYAGAATTTACACCTCTAGCAGTACCCATCCATCACTACAAAATAGCAGCAGAGTGATACAGTTTCATCAAACTAAATGGAAAAGTGAGTAACATTCCCAGGAATTACTSATTTTGGACAATTTGCTTGATTAARGAGTGGAGAACTGGATCCACAGCAACAGCTTTCCTTAAAAATATATAAAGTTTTCCATCCTGCTAAGTTGCATCACAAGAATGTGATGGGTTATACACCGGTTATTCCTACCTCTGAGCCTTGAAGAAACACCATTAAATCTATATTGCTATTTCTTAAAAAAAATGTTCATAGAGTCCTTTCTAGTTCTCTTAAAATGTAGTACTTGGGTTCCCTATTTTTGAAATAGGCCTTTGCTATTTTTCATTATGAAGCATCATTGGTGACAACATTAGCAATGAAGCAATTTCCTTTTTTCCACTCTCTTTGCCCTGGCACAGAAAAAAACTTAATAATTCTGTAAGATTAAAGGAACTGATCCCGAAATGAAGTAGGACTTGGGCACATCATTCACTAGATAGGAGGTGGCTGGTGTGCCATGGAACAGACAAATTAAATTGCTCAGAGGAAGAGTGATGAGATCCTTTGTCTGATTCCTGATCAGGAACATCTGTTGTGCAAAAAATGACAGCCGCTTGCTTCACTTTTCAGAGCTTTTAATGCATTAGCCTTGCTAGTAGTTATCGGCAAGGACATAAAGAGTCAAGCAAATCAAAAGCAGGAGGAAAAACGAACAGTTCCTGGTAGCACAGATTTATTTTAGTGCTCATCAAAGGTGTCAGATTGGCAGCTCTGACAGCTGAAATCCTTTATCTGATCATCAAACAGATGCTACCAGTCATGGAATAGACGCAAGCTGGTGGTACCATTGCTGCCTTCTCACGCAGCTGTGTCAATGTGCTCTGACTATGCCAGGATGAGACCATCATAAAAAGGAAATCCATCTTACTTACAAATTCATTCTTAGTATATTTGCATAGACTAGCTGAAAATGATGGGTTTGATATCAGTCATGCAAAGAATAGTAAGAATAATATAAGGTGAAAAAGGACACCAGCTACATTTGTTCAAACCAGCTACCTTAGCTCAAAATTTTTTTGTTATCTCCACTTGCAATCAGTATGACTCCAAATTACCATTACTGCTACGATGAGAAATATTTCTGATGTCAGATGATGATAATTAATCTGTTCACTGAGATGTTCCTGGGACCTCTTCTAAGTGAAAAGTGATTTGATTCACTTGCAGAAGAGTGGTCATCTCATGAACTACTGCTTAAGCAGACCAAATAATCAAAACATTGAAATGACTGGCTTTAAATCTTTCTTCACAGCCACAACAACCTCCTGAACTCATTCCTTGCAAGTCTATAAAGTGTTAATTAAATTGCATAATTTTAATTGCTTCATTGGTACATCTCAGGCAGTGACTGAAGTTTCTGTCATTGTTTCACCTCATCTCTTTGCTGCTGGAAAGGGTTTTCCACAGTGAAATACATCAAGATTTACACTTGCACTCAACACAGGTTAAATATGTGGCAGCTCAAGGGAGTAAAGTGCCTAAAAATGRAGGCACAGGTCTGCACACAGGGACATTAAGAATTTCAGTCCCACACAGAGATAAGACATTGTTTGCTTTTTCCAGCCTGTGATTGACTGACATCCTTCCCTTGACAGACACCGTACTGAAATAAAGCCATTTCACTGAATTTCTCCAGTCTTCCCACATTATTGAGATGATACATCAAGCTAGCATGTCAGAGCATGGCATTACGTGAGAAAAATCWATAGAAAGAAGCAATGCCAACAGCTCCACAAGCACAAATAAAATTCTTTGCGCCTCTCTCAGCCATCAGCAATTAACCCCTATTAGTCTGCCTTGTCTCCAAATATTTGTCAGAATATTTCACAGTTACCCTGCTCCTTGGCTAGAAAGTCTGGAAGCATCCTCAGCATGGAAAGCCCAGCTCCATTCCCTGGTTTTGATTAGTGTGCAGCAGGGCAAAGCACTGATAACCAGCTGGAGTGACCCGTGAAGAAGAAGCAGAGGCAAACAGAGCAGTTCAAAAAATTACCCAACTCTCATGRAACCTGCTGGTTAGAAGATGCTGTTCAAACAAAGGGTATAATCWCCATTTGACTCCTGTCACTTTTGAAAGGCTGTTCTTCCTTCAGTATTTCTGCTCTCATATTCAATCAGAAAGCCTTAATGTTCTCTTTAGAAATGTTGGGTGAGCGTGGAACYTTAATGAAAACTGGAGAGAATGCTATTGCTAGGTGCAGTTTCATGCTGATAACCATCAAAAAGCTTATGTTCTACAGGGCTGCAGACACTTAAACTCCCCCCCCAAAAAAACAAACAAAAAAAAATCCATCTGACTTGGTTTTGACCACAAGTTACCTTAATACCTGCAAGACCTGCTTCATTTCAATCAAAATAGGGTGTCATGCTCCCTGCTAACCCGAAACACGGGTTCATAGCAGTCTGACAAGATGTCAGCCTCAAGCCATTTGCCCTTATTCCCGCTGTCACCCAAAATCACTTACAGGACTTCCACTTATATGGGTGATGAAAGCTCAAATGCTTAAAGAAAACACAGTTTAGCTTTGCCCAGTCTCATTAACTGAACACTCAGGAAGTTACAACTTCTCAGCATGAATATTTTCCAAAATATCATGAGGAATAATAAATCTCCATTATTTTTGGGGAAGACAGCTTTAATGTCCCACAACTATGTTATAAGTGAGTGGAACTTACACTTTTGGTCTTGTTACAGAAAACTCTAATCCTCATGACAGGCAGATTTTTCAACAGGACATGGACAGGGGTCATGCCCACAACTTTAGGATTTGCTGATACCTGACATAYGAGCCATCTGTTATTTTGGGACTTTGATAGAACAAGGAATTTCTCCAACTCACTGAAGCAGAACAAATTTTCAAAAGAAACGATTGACAGATGCATGCACCTTTGGGCTATGTCAAGAGGTAAAACTGACCTCAAAAACAGCAGTGTTCATCTGACACCACGATCTGAACATCTGCTTCATRGTGCAGCTCCACCTGTACTTTCCCTTCAAGGACAATTTAAACASAGAAAAGGACTTGCATCCTCACCTCCTGGGATGGACTCACACTGCTTTCCCTCTTCATCTCTTTAGGTCCTTGTCACTTCACAGAAGGTGGCACCCTGCTGAGTAGCCAGGATTACTTGGCAGGTCCATCTGGACGCAGCCACCCTGTGAGCCTTCCCTTGGGGAACTATGAATGACATACGAACACCAAAGTTGGCATCCACAGTGCAAAGTGCCACCTCAACAGCAGGAATGAAAATACAGGAAAGGAAACAGGCCTTCCGAATCCTTTTGTCAAACCCATAGGAAGTTGGAAGCTGGGTTTGAAGCTGTTTTCTCTCTGTGCTGCTGGCATGGATGGACAGTTGTCAGAAATGTTTGCCAGCTTCCCTGTTTGCCCACCATCACTGCTGAAGAAGTGCAAAACTGACTTTGCAGTCAGATATCATCAAATTACATCAAAAGGCAGATGAAAAAATACAAAATTCAGGTTTCTTATGCTGTTTATATCTTGTCGGTGAGCTGCTGAAAAGAAGCGAGCTTTGCAGAACTCTGATAAACATGGTAACTTCAGTGTGGAAACAGTTCTTTATCCTAGAAAAAAAATTCACTGTCAAAGAAGTAATTCAATGGTTGAAGTATGGGCTGAGGATCTCCACTCCATCTTCCACCACTAGTTGAGAAGTAAAACTGAGGGAAAAGATCCAGTCTGAAGGGGATTTTTTATCTTCCATCAAAATTAAATGAAATCCAAGCTATTGCATATACAAGGATGAACAAAGATTATGTAGAAGCTTAGTGTCACCTGTTATCTAAGGCTTTCAAATGATTGTAAAAACAGCTTTCTCATTGTGTGCTTGGGAACTGGGAAAATGGGGAATTATTGACAGAACCCAAAGCTCTGCACCTTGAGGACATGCTTCAGTGTTTGGCACAGATCAAGTATGTGGAGAACTCCATGTCCCATACAAATAACAGTRCCTATCTGCTCTCCACTGTATTTCTAGCAAACATGCAACTAGCATGAAAGAAACACATTTTCACAATTTTTTTCTTGGCATCTTTGAGGTGAAGAACAGCCAAGGGCCATGAAGAATTTACTGTCTTCTCACCAAAAGGACAATTCTTTGGGGGACATTTTATTCAGGCTCACGAAATAGCATGACAATGATACAGCTGCCTATGAACTATGGAAGATCTTTGGTCTACAGAACTAAGGTCTGAAAATTTATACAGGTGCTGCAGTTCCTCCAGTGTTTGTAAAAATCTAGTKGAAATGCCATAAAAATATAAATTCCATTATGCAGAGAATATGTGTGCTACCACATTCAGACCAGAGTGTGGTTTTTGTGGCTGTTAAATTTTTAGCAAGTTTTTAGTCCAACAAATTGACCCACTGTTCCCTGTACATTTTACAGGCCAAGAAGGAAAAACCAACRGGCTGTATTTTTTGTAGAAGTCATTATAAAATGCTGATTAAATCTAATAGAATCACACTTGTCAGCTGAGATGATGGAAAGTACAGAGGTGATGGGGTAGCATTATTTTTAGGTCATCTGAATTTTAACAAGACTGAAAATTTCCATGATACAGTATTTTCCATCAAAATGTGATACCAAGCAGAAAGCAATTTACACTTCGCTTGGTGGTTTAC